ACTCATGATTTGTCACACTTTCAAGCCCGTTTTCGTAAATCAGCACGCATACCCGTGTTCGAACTGGATTAGGGCAAATACTATGAACGGAGCTTATAATCAGAAACGCTTACACACGATCCAAACGAGCAAAACCAACGATGTGAAATTTTTAATTAGTTAGTGAGCACGCACAGAAAAGTTATGTTTTTTTCTCAAATCAAATCCTGTTCACTTTAGTCAGAACCATGATTCCATGTTGGTGGCATTTCAGCGGTAAATTTGAATTAAGAGGATTACCACATGCAGGTGAGCTTTATGTTGGTAAGGAACTTGTAGGCGTTTGGGTCGGACATCAAAAGATGCTAATACCTGGACTTGAATCAACTTTGTACGATACGCAGGAAAAAGCTATCAAAAAATTAGGCATAATTCATGTTCGGGTGAACTTGGGGCTAAAGGACGGGGTAACTGTGTTTTCTGTAATAAGGAAAGCAAGCAAGCCTAGCTAGTTAGTTGTCAATAAAGTTGGATCGACTAGTTCTTCGTAATAACTCATGATAGATCTCGGCACTCCCGTTGAAATTGTGAAAGAGAGAGAGCAATCGCATAATTAGGCAATATTATAATTTGTGGGAAAACGGTCGAGGAGTATAACCATCGTCTGATTAGGGTCTTCTTTGTATTGCAGATTTCGGATTTAATGTTCCAGTTGTTTATTTTTGAAGAAGCAGATTCGATAGCTAGGTTTTGCTGCCGATGAAAAGGATATAAGGCTGATCTGCGGTTAAAATGGCGACGTGAAAGGGATATTAATCATGTTAAATCATCACTTGGCACAATTCCGTATTATTCCGTTCTTATATTTAGGACATGCACAGACTGAATGATGAGGTATTGAAAGTACTTACTCTGACTGATCAGTGCGAGACTGATTTCGCAAACATGAACGAGATAATCACACGTTATGTCAACTGCGAGAACTAATTTGTAAGAATTTTGTCAAGACTTGTCAAGATTTATTTCAAAACAGTCAGTTCATTGTGTATAGAAGATATAGTGATAGCGCATATAAGTAATGAAGTAGACGAAGCGCTAATCAAGTATATTTCAGTTCTTTCCGTAACGTTGGAAAAATACGTGACTGAATTGAAGACGATAAGTTGGCACCAATTCCTATGAAGTACGTAGGAAATAATCACTGGCTAGATAAAACATTGAAGACTGACGCCCTTTGGCAGAATTGGAACTATATCTTGGTTTAGATATAATCGTCTTACTAAAACGACCCTGTTCCAACATTTAAAAACGCTTCATACAGAACCCCCAAACATCGTGAGAGTGAAACATTAGCCCGCTTCTATTTCTAGTGATCTAATATTCATGGAAACGTAAAAACTATTGTGTTTGTCATGCGCTGAAGCAACAAATTTCTTTTAAAACAGAGTCAACTTTAAAGTAGCTTAAAAAATATACACATCGATCTTTCCGACTCACTTGATAGAATACATATCCTCCTTAGCCAAAATGCGTCTCTTAAATGGCCCAGATTGACTCTACTAAAGCACTGCTATCAGCGACGACTATACAACTGAAACTTATAGGTAGAAGAAAAGATTTCTGCTGACGCATGAGAACACCCTGTCTGTTCCCAGCGTCTAATAGATGCTCGGACGGTAGGTTTAAGTCTCGAAAACAACATAACACAGTTGTGACCTAAAAAAAGGAACCACAGTTCAACACTCACTACGGTACGTGTAAAGAATATTTAAGGCGCGAGAAAGTGTTGATGTGTGGGATAAGGCACGTTCTGAAGACAAGTACCTGCCATCATTCTGAAAACAAAGAAACCGTCTTATACTAGGTCAAAGATAAATGGATTCGCCGCGTTACCCAATTAAGAAGCAGAAACAAGGACACGCCTACTGTTGTCTTACCTCCGGAAAATGTCAGTCAGACAATTAGGCCGCCAGTACCACCTACAAAAGCCAACAAATAGCAGTAAGAGGACAGCCAATGGAAAAGCATTATTAATATTACGAAGAAGCACACGTCAATGTTAGCTTTCAGCTAAGTTGTTGCTCATTCACCGAAATAATTGAGCTCGTTGTGTTGAAAAATATATGCGCTTATTTTGAAAGGTACATTTATTCCACTATCGTAGTGTCTTCTATTCAAACGAACGTAATAGTTGTACAGAGGTACAAGACATATTGGTTTTTTGACCGAAAAAAGAACGCAGCAACTAATTATATGCTGTCATTGTCTAAAAACTTTTTTTTATCTCTAGCCAAATTTATTTACTTCGTCTCATTTGCTTCGGGGTTCTTCACAGGGTCTGGTGCTGAGGACTCGTCGAGCCAGTTTTTGAGATCCTATTTGGTGTCAACTCTGTTGTTACGTAATTTACTACCAGTAGAACGAGTATGTGGTAGTCAGCCGGCGCAAGGTCGAGTGCAAAAACCTTATATCTCAGTTCTTCAAAGGTATCTTCACTGACTTTTGCCACGTGTGGCATAAAATTGTCGCGAAAAAAAAATTATTATTTCGCCTACTGAGTCTCTTCTGTCGGATAGCTTCGTGCGCTTAATGCGATCGGACAATGGGCAAATCTTTGCTGAGCGTTTTTTCTTACGGTTGTTCCACAGAACGCAAGTTATACTATTTTTTCAAAATGGGGATCTAGTTTATTGGGATTTTTTGTAGAAATTCGTCATGCTGGCTGCGTGTCACCCGGTTCCATACTCACAGAAAAGGATCTGTCCTGCGCACTTAGTTTTTGGCGCACTTGAACTTACAGTGTTTAAATTCTCGAGGTTCATTTGCCTACGACTTATACATTTGCCGTGCTTCTTTATGAGCGCCCTCAAGCAGCCCTTATCAATCACTGATGGCCTAAACGCGAGAGAACAGTCTAGATTCGGTGTGAACAATTCTTCCAAAGATCGTCTTCACACCGTATATGGCACAAATGTTGCGCGCTGCGTCGTCAGCTTTTCGATCTCGGCAAATAGGTGAAGAGGAAGTAGGTGTCGAAAAGCGTTTTTTCAGTAAGAACGGTCATCCTTGAAGCTTCAACTCTAGCAGGTAGAATCCCGTTTGCTACACAATCAAATTACACAGAAATAAATTTTTGAATGGTATATAGAAATAAACAATTAGTGAAGTCATACAGAATGAAGAAAGCATTTGAACGTTACGTATTCACCAGTCTAATGTTTCCTATAATAAGGGATTTATTAAAAAAAAAGAAAGGGAAATAATAAAATTGATTTAATTGGCTGTTGCTGGACACAGAAGAAGGTCTTGCAACACTAGTTTGATACCGAAAGCTATTGTGGTATAATTCTATAACAGTTTGCCAGCATTATGGCCACTTAGGTTGGAATGTGCACGTTTTTATGTTTTGTAGGTTAATGCAGTCTTCAACATATACAGCACAATGCCTTATTGACTTTTTAAATACATATTCTCAATCGTAGCTTTACAAAGGAATATAACTGCCAAAATTTCTTTGGTTGTAACAATGGCAGCAAACAGTGCAAGCTTGCACAGAGTGGCATCAGATTTTTTGCAACGATAGACGAAGCTTAGCACTGTGATATTCTTCTCGGTTTCACGATAGTTCTATTTTATGTCGTACACTTATACGCACCTGAAACGGGTTCTGACGTTGGTCTGCCGGCTGTCGAGGCCTACTTTGTGCGGGATATGGGCTTCCGCCGGCTTGATTCATGTCTGGGCCCTCCATAGCTCTCGTTGAGATGAACGCATTGATGTTATCCTTGGCGAGACGGCTGGTTTTGGAGACTCGACGTTTACGTTTACCTCGCTTGTAACATAACATTTTAAGTTTGACAAAATATAAGGCTTTTCCCGTAGACCATAACGTTACCTGTTGCGCTCTGTCATGTGTTTTCACGAGGGTTCGAGTAATGCTGTTTACGTACATTAAACGCAACAGAGCAAATCTATTTAGTGGCTTGATCAGTGTGGGACCCCGCCGATATAGCAACCCGCTAAACCTCAATTTCCTTGGACGCCATTTTAACAATAGGCTTTATATACTCATTTGACTAACTCCTTTTAAATCAGTTTTTAATAAAGTCTTGATGTGATTACCATCCCGTATGCGCTCCACAGGTACAACCATATGTAGAAATTTAAGATCTGCTCTAATAATCAGTGGTTGGAACTTTTGCGGTACTCTTAACCGAGCTGCCTTCTAACTGCTGTCAACAATTAGTGAACCAAGACTTCGTATTTGTTCTGCAGATTTCTCAAAATATCACAGTGCCGTGAAGCGTCACGTTAGAAAACGAGATTCTTGGCGTGTTTCCAGATGCTTGAAGACCGCCGACGCTCTGTTGTGGTTACATCATGAAGCAAAGATATCAAAGTGGCCTCGTGATACCCTCCTGTTGGGTAAAAATACTGCAAATGACGCTGACAGCGGTCAAAATGTTTACCTTTTTCTTTATAAACGCAAGCAATCGATGATTAGATGACGGCATATTGTGTAATTATAATGGGTGCTTTCAGCAATATCGACAACATATTTCCTTTGGGTGTAAAAACAAAGGATGATGACAAACATTTGGCAGAGAATGAATTATAACTTTGTAATCTGTAGCGTGAGCCGCTTGTTAAAAATTTTTAGTCAAACAGCGCACGACGGCAGAAACGGACTTGAACGAGATAGGCAGTTTAGAAAAAATGGGAGAACCACGAACTTCTTTCAACATTTTTTTACAACACCATTAGTGAGAGCCAATAGCTAGCCAACCATGAAAAGGCCCAAGTTTCAGGCATCTACGAGGTTTCGGCAGCGATTAGGCTGGACGTTAAGAGAGAGCTCGGACCATATAATATACTCTTAGTAAATATGTCTAACTAGCATTGTAATAATCGATATTACTACAGGTAAATATTGTAGAATAACTCTAATTTGGGAACTTCAGTAGGCCATCGACTTTCAATGAATGCGTCTAATGAAAATATTCCTTTGATCTACTTTCCAGATGCAGTACACTTGGCTACATAAGGAAGAGTACCTAAAACGGCAGGTTCATGTAGCTTTAGCACTGATGTCAATTCTTGCTATGATGAGCGCCTGTAGAATTACTGGTGCCATGCAAACGCTGTTTCTATACTCAGAAACTTCTCAGACAGTTCCAATGGTGGTGAGAGAACGTGGAAGATTTATAGCGACCATCAATACGAGCTCCGATAGAAATTGTCGTGTACAAAACCAATCAGGGAATAATCCTTATTCGTTCCTGTGGGAATCGTTGCTAACTATGTACGACGAGACACCATCAATATTGCAGGAAGTTGCGTTTACTCTGGTAAGAATTCAAATAAAAGTTATGTCGGATGTTTTTGTCTAAGTCAGCCATAATGGGAGAACTGATCTGCGTAACCCTAAGAGCAATAATGAAAGTAGCTATGCGATAACAGCTGCAATGATTTAAAAGCTTATAAAGGTTTAAGAATTAGGATGGACTTATTAAGACCAGCGGTTGGACGGGCTCACGAACGCTTTCAAAGTGTGAAGCTGTCGTGATCTTGTCCGGGAAACGCGACTATGACGCTGGACATTTTTTTTCCGCTTTCAAAATTTCGCGTACGTAAAATTGGAATTCTGTTATTTCAGCTACAGGGCACATTAAGCTCTGTCGGTTCACCACTTCTGGTGTTTATCGTATACTCGGTGGCCATAGGCGCTCAATATGGGGCTCTAAGTGTGGAGTATCGGCTGGAGGAGCATAGCAGTCTAAACGCTGTTGCAGATCTGGTAATAACGGTTAACCAAGCCACGATTATTTCTATCATCGTCGCTTCCTCGCTGCTTCATCTTCTGATTGTTATGACTTGCGCTTTGAGACTTGACCCGGACATTCTGGTTGTGCCACTTGCAGGTGCCGCGGGTCATTTCACATACCTATTCTTCTTTGTTTCCATACACGAAGCCAATAGCAAAGGTAAGTTAGCGTCCAAAAAAGTTATACGTACAGTTTCTGTGCGCGAATCCTTTAAATTGATCATCGCTATTATTGTGTTGAAACATAGTCGATGGTCGTTTTACTCTGCTTTTAATTTTTCGTTATATATTATCACTATTTATATACTAGTTGAAAGCGCTCACTTTTCTAGAAATTGATCGTCCAGTGAACTCAATTTCACGTTGAGTTCAGGTTTCGGGTGAAGGCAAATGTACATTTTTGACCTCTGCTCTACTTTACTTGATGCCTAAATCAAAAGCCACCCCAAGCATGCCGGGATATTGGTGCCGGGTATAGCCAATGGGTTCTATGCAGGAGGACTTCTCGAAGAGGTTTGCTAAGTTCAAAAAAACGAATCTCAAATCAGGCGAGCGTACCTCACTCCGATCGGCCATCCGAAGCCGGCGAGCACCTCAGGTGGCAAACAGCCGCTGAATTGGCCGAGAACATGAGCTGCCAACCCCAGACTGCTATTAGGCATATCGAGTGTATTTTTCAGCCATTAGAAGCCATAAGCCCGAGACACAAAAGATAAAGCTCCGCATTGACCTTCAGCGGCTTACCCGACAACCGGTAACGAACAACAAGAGTGAATGACTTTTACATTGAATTATTACTCGTGACGAAAACCATATCAACACAAAGAAGGGAACGAGAAATATGCCTACGTTCCAGCTTATCCCAGATCTTCATTACAAAAAAAGCATGATCCACATTTGCTGTCACTGGCACTATTTTGACTAAATGCGTGGAAAAAACAGACAGACAAGAATCTGTATATGGTCCGGTTGCATCGAGCGAGCGAGGTTACGCAACTCTGACATACGAAGTGATCCTTTATCCCAGGCCGCATATGGTAAAAACTATCAAAATCGTTTTACATTGATCACAGTCTCCAGATTTGGCTCCTTCTGATTACCACCTTCTCTGATACTAGGAAATGAAATTTTAGTAGTCTCACATTTGACTGCCTACAAGGGTCCCAGAGGCTGGCTAAACGAACCTGTCAACAATAGACCCGAAAATTTCTAATGAAAAGCAATAAGTTAGTTAGTAGATGGAAGAAGGTCGTGAAAAGAGATGGTGAATACATGAAAAGTACGTTTGCGGCTAGAATTCGGGCAATACCGCTGCGTTTTCTATTAACGGAAGAAGTGGCGTTCACTTATGTTCTAATTTAGTACGTGAGCGATTGTACGACTTCATGATCTATAGATATTCCAGAAATAGATCAGGTTAGCCATAGGCACGGCAATGGAAACAACTGTAAAAGCCCTTAGCATATGCCTAAAGTGAAACCGAGCCTTACTCGTAACTGCAATCCATATAGAACTATTACACAGATATGCTGATCGATAATTAACAGCAAGGCACGTCTTGGTCCGTCTAAAAATTTAGAATTTACTGGTGTTAGTCAGTTAACGTTGGCAAGATAATATCTATTATTACGTGCTTCGCTTGCGTACTTAATAAAATTCATCGATAGTCGAGAGGCAGGTTTGCTTGAGTATAAAGCTTAGATATATTCTATTCAGTTAATATAACCTTAAGAGCACGACGGTAATATCACGTCTAAGGTACGTATGTAAAGAGACCGAAGACCACATAGACCTAGAGTGACACCGGATGAAGCAAACAACTTCTAAGAACTTTCTCCTATTTTGATGACATATTTTGCGAAAGTTAAGTCGAGACTCCTTCTAACGTTCGATTTTGCTGGGTATCCTACGATGAGACAGTTATGTACGAATTCGAGCTACAGGAGGTAGCTATCACTGTTAGGTCACGAAAAAGATTTCCGCACGCGCTCGTCTAGTTCGTCTCGAAAAAATGCTTCGGATGGCATCAGTCAGAAGTACAGATATTGTATTCTGCCACATTCAGCATATATTGAAAATTTCGATTTGGATATTTGTACAAATGATTTAGCTCGCTGGCCTAATATGCGATACTTCATTTTGATGCGTCGTCATAAACCGGTCAGAGTTTCGCGTGAAGATCGATAAATCATATTTGTTAATAACGCCAGTCACAGTCTTCAAGTGTTCGAAAACAGCCTATACAGCAGGCACCCAATATGCGTTGTATGTTGTTCGTGCAGATCGCGTATTGGGTGAATATCTTTTCGTAGGCCAAATGGACACACTGAGGACCGTAGTGTTGCTCATCATAGGAATAATAATAGTAATATTATTACTTGCTCGTAAGTGATTCTACTGCGTAGAAAAAGGTCTACTGTAAAACGGTTGCTAGCAGGAAGTCAATGACTATTACCTCGAAGGAAATAGAAAATTTGTTCATTTAGATCATCAGGAAATTACGTAAGGTTAAACTTCTCTACCTAAGTAAGGTGGTCTATGTATACAGCGTATCTTAGCCGATATATTTCGTGAAGTTGCAATGTTTACCGAGAAAGGTCGGTCAAGTACCTCAGTAACCGCTGACAGCGAGTGCTCGAGCCGTTACTTCGGCAAACTCAGACGTCTAAGGTACGTGTAAGAAGGTATCTACTACAGGAATACCAGGCATAAAAAATGTTTGACACCGTCTACGGTCATCCAAAAAACTACTCATATTAAATAACTAATGAGAATGGCGGCTTAATGGGAAAAACACAGGTACACCTGTATTCTAGGTGCTAATAATTAGAAAGGCATTCCCGGCCTTCATGTTGACCTAATATCCTCTCGCCAAAGGAAACTCTTATTTAGAAATTCGACTAAATTAGGGTCGCTTGCTTCGATATTTGGCTACGATAGCAATGTAATTTGGTCATCAATTATAACGCTAGGCGCAAACAGAAAGTCATGACATTGTAACGATCAGCATCATTGCTATTTTGGACTGTAAGGATTCTGTAACCCGACCTTGATCTGCCGTAGATACTGCTAAAAGCTGATCCAGGATAAAGACTGATTGATTACAGAGGCGGTAAACTTCTTTAATATTCGCCTCTCGAACTTTTTTTGATCCTTCCTGTTGTCCAGTTTGATGTATGGGGCATTGTAAATTCATATGGTCACTGTTGCCCCCGGCATAGAGAGATTAAAACGTTTTAGAAAGCTGCTGAATCTACGACAGAACGATCACGGATTTTCGTGTTAACTAACATTTCCAGGTGTCGGTTCTATAAACGTTTTTCCTTTTTATTTTGATAAACACTTCACACCTGGATGCATGCGTTTGAAATCATTATCGGCTACATTACTGAGGTGTTCCTTAACAGTTCTCTTAGCCCTTGCTTGCAGCATGATACGGAGCGTCTATGTTGGCTGAGATCTTTGATTTTTGCCGTGACTTTCTTGAATGCTGCGTAAACAATTTCGATTCGGTCGTCTGAAATGAAGCCTTAGGCCTGAAATGATGTCTGGAATGGGCATCGTAGCGTTTTGGTTGCAGTTTTATAGATCACTGTCATGTATGGAAAAAGCCTTTGTGGGTACCTGACGCCAACAGTCTCCTTTCCAAAGATAAGCAAAGTACGTATGCACTGGCAAACTTCCAGTTTATATTCGTTATTTACACCGTGCCTGTAGTTAAACCTATTTAGTGTGTAGCGTCTGGAATCATCTAGAACTTCTTCTATGACACCATACAAGAAACAGATCATATTTCTTTCTCCTTCTTGGCATCTTCCGGCGAAGCCTCATTGTTTGCAGGAAGTCCTGAGAAATTTCGCCCTTCCATGGTTTCAATATTGTGTTCGAATTTACACGAAACCTAAGGTACCATTGTAGTCTTGCTGAGTACATAGTACGAACACGTTTAGCCCAAAGCCTACTCTTATTGATGATACCGGTACTACAAGCTACAGCATCCATAACTGAAGTACGTAATAGTTGTAGGGGCTTAATGGAAGGATATATGAAGTAGCAGAGTAAAACGAGACTACTACTAATGCCAATAGTACAATAGCATTATTAACAGGAGAACAGGGCCGGTTATTTAAGAAATAGGTAAGCTGTTTAAGGTACGGGACTAGCCATAATGAAAGCGCAGGGGGTAGAAATTATCCAGGATTTTTCGGGAGGAGATAATTGAAAAAGCTTTTCAATAGGCGAAGTGACAAGGCTAAGTAATAAGTTAACGGAACCGAGATGAGAGTTTTGCCTTAGACGAAAGTAATAATTTGGCCTTTATATAACACTGGCAGTGGAGATCAAAAGTGAGAAGCGTAGGCGATATTCACGAGAACGTGTGGGGTAGACACCGTGAACGTTGATGCAGTAAGACCTCAGATGGACTGACTAATAAGCTAAAAGATAGAGGTGAAGTTAATGAATTGGAATATGTCGAGAACAGTACAGAATGAATGGTATAGAGGCTAAGGAGGTACAGGGAATTCCAAGAATGACAAGTAGGACATCGTTTTGTAAAATTTGGGAACTACCTATTTAGCAGTTATGGCTCACCCCAACACGAATACGTAGTAGGGAATAAGAGAAAGATTTATAAACTTGGGTTAATATTTTCAAAATTGTTCAGGGGGGTTTGAAGTGGGGGAGAGACCCCCACGAACAACACGAAAACATTGGGGCGAAGCAGACGAGAAGGCGAATAATATGGAGTTAGCATTTCTCACTGATGCAACACACCGTATAGCTAACAATCGGTAAAAGCCATGACATGTAGTAACTTATGTTATATCGGCGCTGACCCTTCACAAGGTAAACCTGCTGTTTGCAAAGTTCGGCCTACAAAAGGCTCAGTCATGCAGTGGGTATTTCCGAGACAACCCACTATGTAAAACTTCGCAGTTTGTATTTGAAGTGATTCAATACATAGGAAGTAGAGCAAAAAAAGTGGCACCTAGAATAAAACCTTGGCTGACACCTTTAAGAAGTTGTAATAAAGTAGACAGAGCTTCTGAGGTGTTGTCTTGAAGAGGACCATAAACAGGTATCGTCAGAAAGCTCTAGAAGGAACATATGAGGTCAGCATGGTTTAGATAATGGAAAGCCTTGGCCACACCAAAGGAT